GCTTCGTTTGGAAGGGACCTTAACGATCATCTAGTTCCAACCCCCCTGCATGGGCAGGGACACCTCTCGCTAGACCAGGTTGCTCAAAGCTCCTGGTCTTGAACACTTCCAGGAATGGGGCATCCACAGCTTCCCTGGACAACCTGTTCCAGTGTCTCACCACTCTTACACTAAATAATTTATTCCTATTGTCTAACCAAAATCTACCTTCTTCCAGTTAAAAGCAATGATCACAGATGGATAATATTATTTTTTTTTTCTGAGTAAATGTTGATGAATGTGTTGGTTTTAATTTTCCAAAATTCTCAAGAAAATATCTGTATAGCTGTGTGTTCCACCTGACCTACTTAGTTTTAAAGTGTAAAGCATAGAGGATTGCTTCATTGTTGCCATTTTAGAGGTATTTCCTGGAAAAGGGAAAGGTGACCTCATGTCTGCTACTAAGCTGTCCCATTACAAGGTTAGATTTTAGTGGCCATGACAATTATCTGATTATCTGCAGGCTCAATTCTTTTCTGGGTTTTTTTGGTCCAGTCATATGAAATGCATGGTAGAGATTTCTGTTTAGAATTGGACAGTCCCCTGCAGCTTAGCTCTAGTGTAGCAGGATAATCAAGGCAAGGGATGGGGAAAGAATGTATTCCTGGGGAATATTTGTACCTCCTGCATACAGCTTGAAATGAAAGTGAACATACTTTGCATAATGGGTGATCATAGAATCATAGAATCTTAGGGGCTGGAAGGGACCTCGAGAGATCATCTAGTCCAACCCCCCTGCCAGAGCAGGGTCACCTAGAGTACATCACACAGTAATTCATCCAGGTGGGTTTTGAATGTCTCCAATGAGGGAGACTCCACAACCTCCCTGGGCAGTCTGTTCCAGTGCTCTGTCACTCTTACAGTAAAAAATTTTTTTCAGATATTCACCTTGAACCTCCTATGCTCCAATTTACACCCATTACCCCTTGTCCTATCACTGGTCATCACTGAGAAAAGCCTAACTCCGTCCCCCTGACACTCACCCCTTACATATTTGTAAACATTGATGAGGTCACCCCTCAGTCTCCTTTTCTCCAAGCTAAAGAGACCCAGCTCCCTCAGCCTTTCCTTATAAGGGAGATGTTCCACTCCCTTAATCATCTTCGTAGCTCTGCTCTTTCGAGCAGTTCCCTGTCCTTTTTGAACTGAGAGGCCCAGAACTGGACACAATACTCCAGATGCGGCCTCACCAATGCAGAATAGAGGGGGAGGAGAACCTCTCTTGACCTACCAACCACACCCTTTCTAATGCACCCCAGGATGCCATTGGCCTTCTTGGCCACAAGGGCACATTGCTGGCTCATGGTCATCCTCCTGTCTACCAGGACCCCCAGGTCTCTTTCACCTACACTACTCTCCAGCAGTTCAGCCCCCAACCTGTACTGGGACATGGTGTTGTTCTTCCCCAAATGTAAAACTCTGCACTTCCCCTTGTTGAATTTCATCAGGTTTCTCCCCGCCCAACTCTCCAACCTATCTAAGTCTCTCTGAATGGCAGCACAGCCTTCTGGTGTGTCAGCCACTCCTCCCAGCTTAGTGTCATCAGCAAACTTGCTGAGGGTACATTCTATACCCTCATCCAGGTCGTTGATGAAGATGTTGAACAACACCGGTCCCAGTACCGACCCCTGAGGGACTCCACTAGTCACACACCTCCAACCAGATTCTGCCCCATTGACTACAACTCTCTGACTCCTTCCTTTCAACCAGTTCCTAATCCACCTCACTTCCTGATCACCAATTGATATCACCTGATGATAGATTAGCCAGTTTATTTCAAAGATCTGACTATGCTTCTTTGTCAGTAAATTCTGGGCACTTTTGAGTTTATTTGGTGGATGAAAGGAAGATGGATTATGCTTGTTTAGTAAATTAAGAAGCCAAAGTTTGGTAGTTACTTAAGGAATCAAATATTAAGTTTCAAGGAAGGTAGTAGTAGCAACATGACCCATTGTCTCAAAAATGACAGGAAGATCTCCATGAAGAAGACAGAGAAAAAGATGGAGAATTTATTCAACTGAGGAAGGAGGAAAATGATAGAAAATCAGAAAATACAGAAAGGATCAGTTTTGTCTAAAATACCAGATTTCATAGGTGTTTAGGGCTATGACAGGACTATTGTGAACTTGGGGGGAAAGAGCATGAACGACGCAGAGCATGGGAATCAGAAGCAGGGAAAAGACTCTTTAGAAAAAAAAAAAAAATTAAAAAAATCTTCAGAACTGTGAAACTTAACTCATCTCATGGATCTCGCAGTTTTCTTGGCTTCAGCATTCTGCCCCTGTGACCTTATTTGAGAGAGAAGTCCCCATAGTTTTCCCTGACCATAGTACTTACCATCACTAGGTTGGGCAGTGATTGTGTAAGTGGTGATAAGTTATAGTTCTGAAGAGCATGGGAGGTGTTGGACCAGATTAATTGTACTGCCTTTTGAAGAAGAAATGGTTGTTTGAAAAAGCGTGGAGCAACGCTGAAGTGTGAGATACTGAACTGATGCAACATTCATTTTGAGAGAAGATATTACGATGCAAATATTGGACAAAAAGAATTGGAGGTGTGCCTTTTTTTTCCCCCCAGACCTATTCAGTCATCTAGGTAGGGTGTGAGCTTTTTAAAAAAATCATGTAAAAGTATTGAAGAGTGAAATTAATTTCTGCCTCCAGAAAAAAATGACAAGAAAGCATGTTCAGCTTCATTGAAGCAACACAACTTCAGTGTTCCAAAAAGGAAGAAATAAAACCAGAACTGAGAAGCATGTGTGAAAAGAACGTTATCTCTTTTGAATTCAGTTAAAATATGGGGCTTTTCGAAGTTGCTGCAACCCAGACTATATAGGGACTGCAAAGAAATTTAGAGTAAGAATCTATACAGCAGCTGCCAGACAGTGTCAAAGTGTCAGAACAAACACTGGCTTGTGTCATACCTCCTGTCAGCTTCTGTCTCCTTATGAACACTTTGCCAATCTTTTGGATCCTGATGGAATTTAGCAGTTTAGGGAGCAGGGAGTTTATGTAATTGGTTGTTAATTGGCTTCACGTTAATCCTGTGAGGTACAGAACTTTTCAGCTTGTCTGGAATACGTGACACTGTATAAAACCTGGCTCATGTTTGTTGTGTAATTTCTATGAGGATCAATTCTGCCAAGGGAAGCATTTCCTGCAGTGACAAAAACTGGCTTGAAATGCTTCAAGCTGCTCAGAGTTCCTGACCAGGGGCAGGTTGCTGCTGAGGCTGGGAGGGGATGCTCCCACCTGGACTGAGTGATGCAGGGAAGGCTGCATTAGCTTTCTCATCTGTGCAGTCTGGAGGTGAATCTAGTCCTGATACTAACTCAGGGCTAAGCATGGAGAAATTAGCATTTTAAAAATGTGATTTCTCATGGCTGCAAAAACCAACGCTGACTAAAAGCATGGAAAACTGTATTGCTTGGTAACTCAGCACCATTCCCCACCTAAACTAACAGAGCTACTTGTTAGCTTGGAGTGTGCTGCATTCTTCATGATATAAATGTTTTCATGTTTAGTTATCCTGTATTTCTTTTTGCAGATAATTTCCTTACATTCAGTATAAATGAAGGCTGTAATGTTAAAGGGAAGTTGATGTGAGAACATGTTTAGTATAGTATGTTTTATTTTAATTTACTCATTATTGTGTATGAAGTGACATAATTGATTTTAAAGATTAAACTGTAGCAAATGGATAGTTTAAAAGCAAGAGTTAATATGCTTAAGAGAATTGTCCTAGTGTTTTGCATTTTTTAATTTAAAATTTTTTAAATTTTAAATTCTTTGATTTATTGGAGAAATGTGGGTCTTCAGACTGACTGGGTTTTTACACGCAAAAGCTAAAAGGTTGCAGGACAGGTAGAAAGTAAAAAAAAAATTACATTTTCATGCTTCCTCTGGAGTAAAGTGCATTGAACATAGTATTGTCACTTCTTCTTCGCTTTCCTTTATGAACTAAGTTTCAGATAGACAATTGTATGATAATCTTGTCTGCATGTGAAAAGAAACTTGTTAAAATATAAAAAAATTAAAAACTAAAAATAAAATCCAGATAGCTGTTAATAGAACAGTAGCTGTATTTAGATTAGACATTAGGAAGAAATTCTTCACTGCAAAGGTAGTGAGACACTGGAACAGGTTGCCCAGGGAAGCTGTGGATGCCTTCTCTCTGCAACTGTTCAAGGCCATGGGTGATGGAGTTTTGAGCAACCTGGTCTAGTGACAGGTATTGAAGATGATCTTTGAGGTCCCTTCCACCCCAAGCCATTCTGTGATATGCTCCATAGTACATGTAAAGGCAATCTGCATGCAGGAATGATTGTAATGCCTCTGTCTTCACTTTGAAGTAATGACAAGCCCAGCATAGTCACCTGGTTCTACCTGAGACTCAAAGCAGTTCGTTTAGGGAAAAGCAGTGTGCCTGGCCCTACCTCTGTCAGCAGAATGAAGAAGAGCATGGGTCTGTCTTCTGGTAGTCATGGACCCCAGCTTCTCTACCAGGGAGAGCTGAGGCTGACTGCTGAACGTGGGCTTGTTTGTCAGCCATGTGCATGGTAGGTTTTGTCTGTGATGGAGACTGACAGCCCAGACATGCCTAATAAAAATAGGAGATTTACCCTTGGATTCTGAACCATTCTGTTACAAAAAAAATTAATGTTACTCATATTGCCTGTGTAGTTTCATCCAGGCATGGTAAATTTCTCTGGTAAGGTTTTCTAACTTACAGATACTGATTTATGCTTCCACACAGATGCTGTTTTCCAGCCAATATAGGTGCTTCTCAGTAATTTAGTTCTATTTGGTGCATAAAATATTGTGATCTTCCAGACTATAAAGTATTATTGTAATCTCATTTATTGATAGAATCACCTAAATTTTGGAAATGGGCTTTGAAAGAGGGGAAAAGAAGTAGTTTTAATGTGAGAACAAAACATTTAATTGATTCTCTAATTCCAGGTACTCCCACTGGAAAACAGAATGAAGGACACTGCACGTTTCCCGCAGGCTCTGAACATTGGCATGGGAATAGTCATGACCTTGTACATCTCATTAGCCACTCTAGGATATCTGCGCTTTGGGGATGAAATAAAAGCCAGCATAACTTTAAACCTGCCAGAAGATAAATTGTAAGTGCAAAAATGTTGCAAAGTTTGTTCCATGCTTTTGTGCTGTCATGCTTCTAAGGGATTGGTGCTCAAAACTGTTTTAAAAGTGTACTGCATAAATTGTGTCTGTGCCTTCTACAGCTGAGCTGTGATCCTAGTCAGCAGTTTTTTGCACAGTAAAAGGAATTGCATATGGAAACAGATTAATGAGCTTTACAGCAAAGTTCCATCTCTAGTAAAGCCCAGTTTCCAGTGTAGTGAAGGAGTGAATATGTGGTTTGCAACCAGCTATTTTGTAGTTCTGAAGCCAGCTAGTTTTGACTTGGGTATCTTGGTAATGTAGTGGCCCTTTTTAGTGGAGTCACTGACTTAAGCAGGCAAGCAACTGGAATAGAAGACAATAAAGCTGAATAGGTTTGTAATTTAAATGCAAGTCTCTGGATAAGTCATAATGATGGCTTCCTATCAGGAAAATGAGACTTAAGTTCCTTAATGTGAGGGTGGTGGATCACTGGAACAGGTTTCCTAGTGAGGTGTTGGAGGCCCCATCCCTGAAGACTTTCAAGGTCAGGCTTAATGGGGCTCTAAGCAATATGTTCTAATGTGAGATGACCTTGCTTGTTGTAGGAGGGTTGGACTAGATGACCTTTAGAGGTCCCTTCCAACCCAAGACTTTCTATGATTTTATGCATGCCAGTGTCTCAGGGTATTATAATTTTTTAGGTATCTTTTTTAACGCTATGAGAGCTACACATGTCACATGCTGAAGAAGCACTGAAAACTGTTTCAGCTGGTGGGAGCTGAAGAGTATTTCAACAGAGGATGGAAGCAAGGTCAGGTAGCCTGGGGGGAGTATAAAGAAATTGTCTGTGCAGCCAGGAATCAGGTCAGGAAAGCTAAAGCCCAGATAGAATTAAATCTGGTCAGGGACATTAAGGGTAACAGGAAAAGTTTCTATAGGTACATCAGTGATAAAAGGAAGACTAGGGGCAATGTGCACCCTCTCCAGGAGGAAACAGGAGACATGGTCACATGGGATATGGAGAAGGCTGAGGTGGTCAATTAATTTTTGCCTCATTCGTTACTGGCAAGGGCTCTGGCCACACTGTACAAGTCACAGAAGGCAAAGACAGGGACTGGCAGAAGCAAGTTTTGCCCACGGTAGGGGCAAATAAGGTTCAAGACCATCTGAAGAACCTGAAAGTGCACAAGTCCATGGGACCTGATAAAATGCATCTGGGGGTCCTGATGGAACTGGTGGATGAAGTTGCAAAGCCATTTTCCATCATATTTGAGAAATCATGAGAGTCTGGTGATGTTTCCACTGCCTTGGAAGAAGGGAAACATAACCTCCATTTCCAAAAAGAGAGAAAAGGAAGACCTGGGGAACTACAGGCCAGTCAGTCTCACCTCTGTGCCTGGCAAGATCATGGAGCAGATCCTCCTGAAGGCTCTGCTAAGGTGCATGGAAAGTGTTGGACAAGGGGAGAGCAACTAATATCACCTACCTAGATTTATGCAAAGAGTTTGACACTAGCCTGCATGACATCCTGGTCTCTAAATTGGAGAGATAAAAATTTGATGGATAGACCACTCAGTGGATAAAGAGTTGGCTGGCTGGTGACACTCAGAGTAGTGGTGAAAGGCTTGATGTCCAAATGGAGACTCAGTGACAAGTGGCGTTCCTCAAGGGTTGGTGCTGGGACTTGTGCTGTTTAACATCTTTGTCAGTGACATGGACATGGTATTGAGTGCACCCGCAGCAAGTTTTCTGATGACACTAAACTGTGTATTGAGCTTGACACACTGGAGGGAAGGGATACCATCCAGAGGGACCTTCACAGGCTTGAGAGGTGGGCCTTTGCCAACCTCATTAAGTCCAGTAAGGCCAAATGCAAGGTCTTGCATGTAGTCCAGGGCAATCCCAAGCACAATTACAGGCTGGGCAGAGAATGGATTGTGAACACCCCTGAGGCAAAAGGATTTGGGGGTGTTGGTTGGTGAGAAACTCAACACGAGCCAACAATGTGCACTTGCAGCCCAGAAAGCCAACTGTGTCCTGCAACAAAAGAAATGTGACCAGCAGATCAAGGGAGGTGATTCTCCCCCTCTATTCTGCTTTCAGGAGACCCCACCTGCAGTACTGTGTCCATTTCTGGAGGCCCCCATATAAGAAGGACATGTTTTTCCTGGAGTCCAGAGGAGGGCCTTGAAGCTGATCAGACTAGACACCAGGTTGGGAGGGAGTGTTGATCTGCCTGAATGTAGGGAGACCCTACAGACTTGGGCAGACCAGATTGATGGGCCGAGGTCAGTTGTATGTTCAACAAGGCCAAGGGCCCAGTCCTGTACTTGGGCCACAACAACTCTATGCAACACTACAGGCTTGGGGGAGAGTGGCTGGAGAGCTGCCCAGCAGAGAGGGACCTGGGATGCTGATTGACAGCAGCTGTACATGAGCCAGCAGTGTGCCCTGCTGGCCAAGAAGGCCAATTGCATCCTGGCCTATATTCGGAATAGTGTGGCCAGCAGGACCAGGGAGGTGATCATCGCTCTATGCTCAGCATTGGTGAGGCTACACTTCAAATACTGTGTCCAGTTTTGGGCACCACAATACAGAAAGGACATTGAGGTGCTGGAGCATGTCCAAAGAAGGGCAACAAAGCTGGTGAAGGACCTTGAGAACAAGTCATATGAGGACTGGCTGAGGGAACTCGGGCTATTTAGTCTGAAGAAAAGGAGGCTGAGGGGAGAGCTCATTGCCCTCTACAGCTACCTGAAAGGACGTTGTAAAGAGGTAGGCACTGGTCTCTTCTCACAAGTAACAGGTGATAGAACAGAAGTGAATGGCCTCCAGCTGTGCCAGAGAAGATTTAAACTAGACATTAGGAAGAACTTTTTCACTGAAAAGGTTATCAGGCATTCGAACAGGCTGCCCAAGGACGTGGTTGAGTCACCATCCCTGGATGTGTTTAAAAGTCATCTAGATGTGATACTTCGGAATATGGCTTAGTGCTGGACTTGGTAGAGTGGGGTTAATGGTTGGACTTGATGATCTTAAAGGTCTTTTCCAACCTAAGCGATTCTGTGATTCTGTGATCAGAGGACTGAAGGACCTCTCCTGTGAAGACAAGCTGAGCAAGTTGGGCTTTTTCAGCCTGGAGAAGAAAAGGCTCTTGGGAGAGCTTAGAGGGGACTTCCAGTACCTGAAGGGCTACAGGAAATATGAGGAGAGACTTTTTGCAAGGGTGCATGAAGTGATAGGAAAAGGGGGAATGTTTTTAAGCTGCAAGAGGGTAGATTTAGGTTAGATAAAGGAAGAAATTCTGCAGTGTGAGGGTAGTGAGACACGGGCACAAGTTGCCCAGGGAGGTTGTGGATGCCCCCTCCCTGGAAATGTTTCAAGGCCAGGTTGGATGGGGCATTGAGTAACCTGGTCTAGTGGAAGGTGTCCCTGTCCATGCAGGGGGGTTGGAACTAGGTGATATTTAAGTTCTCTTCTAATTTAAACAGTTCTGTGATTCTTTGGTGCATTGTTAGTTCTCAATCTATCTATGGATAGATATGTACACTAATTATTAAAGATTTTTTTTTTATTGTACTAGTTTTCTGGCTAGTGGGTCTAAAACCAGGTGTATCAGCAGTGCACAAGTGTAAAAGCTGAAATGTATTTTAATGTTTTCCTTCTATGTCTTTCATTCTTGTTGTAAGCTTGCTCCTACCTTTTGTTCAGTATCTGCTATGGTAGGATATTGAGATTGTGAAATCTCGAACTGCTTATGACAAACAAAAACTTTGCTGAACTGGATGCTGACCCCTTTTTTTATTATTTGAAAATGAGAAGAACATATTTAAAGAATGTTCTTAATTTTCAAGTGCTACTTTTTAATTCTCTTTTTTCATTTTCCTTTCTTGGGGCCAGTATGAATTATGCATGTATAACAGTTTTAAAAAGCTTTGTTTCATTGTCTGACTGATTGCAATGATAAATCCATGAAATGATTCTAAACTATTTCTTGAAAGAGGATTTCTTTTTAAATAGAATTTTCACTTGTCTGGTGTTGCAGATTTGCTTGTTATGTTTTTGTACTGCTATTTTAAAAATGGAACTTTGGGGCAAATTTTTTTTCCTCGTTTTGTGGCAGTTTTTTCTATTTTTTATTCTTGTTCTGATTTTTGGGGCATATTGTTCATAATACATACTTAATTTTGTCCTTTTGTTAGACATAATCCATACTTTAAAAAACAACAACAACATAAGTCTTCAAAAACTTGCTGTATCAATTTCTGTCAATATCATGTGTCTGAAAGGGAATGTGCTTCTATTGGTAATTCTACATGGTATTGCTCATTGTTGATATGGTTAATGAAAAATTAATTATAAATGGTAGACCAGGGTTTAATTGTGTCTTAAGGGCTATTAAAAGATGAGGAAGCAGAGGAATAAAGAATTGAAAATAAGGTTTCTCACTCACTCTGTTGTTTTTCATTGTCCTCAGGCAAGCAAGAGGATGAATTTTATTCTGCTGTAATATTCTGCTTTATTCTGCAGCCCTGCTGACTAACAGGGCTGTCCAAGTAAGGGTTTCCAAATAGCTTTTGGCTCCAGTGCAGTTGTGGTGATAATATTTATCCTGATGGCTTTGATGACCTAATGCAAAGAAAGAGATAATAGAAGAGATGGAAACTGGTGTTCTGTAAGGTGGAGAATTGGCATTAAAAGTTTAATAACCTCAGAGTTGCTCATGGCACATATGCAGAGATAACAAAGTAATCTGTTTTCATCTTTAATCTGTTTTCATCTTACCCTGCATAGGATGCCAGAGCACCAAACAAAATTAGGAGGAGCAGCTCAGTGGTCCATGCATGGCTGTGATGTACTGTGGCTCTACTTGCTACTGTACTGATGAGCAGATGCCTGCAATTAACTGCCAGCAAAACAAATTGCCAGTGACCTGTATGACAATTTTGTGTTGCTTGGTCCTCACATAAAAAGCCAGGAAGTAGCTGGATTGAACTAGAGAAATGCAAGGAGTGGACAGGTTTTTATAAGCAACCCGTCATGTGGAAGAGCCTGGAATGTAGCTAAGCAGTGAGACTTGGCTTATGTGTTTAATTCCAGCTCGACAATCCCTGTCCTTAAAATAATCCTTTACTGTGTTAAGTCACACAAGAGTGTGAGTGTGATACCTGAAAACCTTATACTGAAAAACTGTTATTTTTTATGTGAAATTTGTCAAGACAGTACCAATATATGGCTTTTTTCCAATATATGTAAGGAAGCAAGATGCAGAAGCCCATGCAAAATTATATGGAAATTAGGCTGCCAACCCATTCAGGCATTTATTTTATTTTAATATCTTCTTTATTTTACACATAAGTGTCACAGCTATTTCCCACTGAGATATAGTAATATGAGATTAGATTTGAACTTTTTTGCTTTTTTTTTGTCTTGGTCTTTGATGTGACACTTTTTTCTGATCTTTTCCTTTACTAACAGAGCAGAGTTTTCTGGTTCTGCACAGGTCTGAAAAAAATACATGAAGATTAAAGCTGGTTGATTCCAAGTAATCTAATATTTTTCAGAACAGTACAGAGTATTTTTAATCAATTTAGTCCAAAAGAAGTTAAATTAACTGACTGTAAATGTAACTATATTTATATTGGTTTAAAGAAACTGCTCACTATGTTGTATTTTCTGAGCATTTTTATCTATACTTTGGTGGCATGCAGTGTTGAATAGCAGTAGAAAGGAAGATTAATGAGAACAAAAATTCTTCCCTCTTCTTAAAATGTATCTTGTGTCTTTTACCAGTCTGTTTAGGGGTAATTTTGCTTTTTATGGAACTGAATGCTTGGAATGGTGCAAGGTATCAGTTTGTCTTTGGCACAGAATGAAAAAACATCTTAAACTAGCTTTCCAACAAAATAGTGTCTCTTAAAATTGTTCCCTAAAATGTGTGTCTAGTTACAGCAGCTCTAGTGCTGTATGTTTGAAAAGACATGCCTGCATCAAACACTTCTGCAGGAGCACACCTTTTCTCAATTTCTTTTTTAGTAATGCCAGTTCACCACTGGCATGTTTGGCTTAGTTTGGAGCAGTAGAACTTGGTACTCCTTTGTGTTGCTATAAAACAGTGGGGTTTTTCCATCATTACTGACTTCAAATGTCATGGCCTTTATTGACACTTCCATGATCTCCTATCAGACACAACCCTTCAGTAGAGTTTGTGTGTTACAGTAATTTCATAGAATCATAGGGGTTGGGAGGGACCTCGGAAGATCATCTAGTCCAAGCCCCCCTGCCAGAGCAGGGTCACCTAGAGAACATCACACAGGAATGCATCCAGATGGGTTTTGAATGTCTCCAGTGAAGGAGACTCCACAACCTCCCTGGGCAGCCTGTTCCAGTGCTCTCAATTTAATGATGTGCTGTACCTAGTGAAGTTCTGTACCTTTTCAAGAGGAGATGTGGACTGCAAGCAAATTTGGTTGTGGACATTTGCTAGCCTTGAAGGTATTCCTTCCAATTTTAATAAATAAAATTTCCTGAGATGCCCCTCTTCCTGTTAGGAACACTTTGTGACTGTGCAGAAATCTGGAAGATACTGGCTTTGGCCTTAAACATGGCCAGTGTTTACTGCCACTGTGAAAGGTTTATCAAAGTGCAGAATATATTTGATTTAAGTTTGGAATTTTATTTTCCCAAATAACTACCTGCTCTCTAATCTGCTTTTCTTTAAGTTTTTTTATTTATGATCACATTATATTGATTTTTGGAGGGGTTTTTTTGGAGGTACATATTTTGGCAGTATGCTTATCTTCTGCAGTTTCATAGGCAGTTACAACTGTTGCAACTAGATAATGCTTTTTCTTTACTGGGGAAAAATATAATCTAAAAATGTCTATCTGTTTCAGTGATGTCCAGTGATAGGACAAGGGGCTATGGGTGCAAACTGGAACACAGGAGGTTCCATGTAAATATCAGAAAAAACTTTACTGTGAGAGTGGCAGAGCCCTGGAACAGGCTGCCCAGAGAGGTTGTGGAGTCTTGTTCTCTGGAGAAATTCAAACCCATTCCTGTGTGATGTGCTCTAGGTGATCCTGCTCTGGCAGGGGGGTTGGACTAAATGATCTTTCAAGGTCCCTTCCAACCCCTAAGATTCTGTGATTCTCTGATCTCCTTAGTGCCATGTGGCCATAATGATACTTGGAGCATCAGACAGAATCCTGCTACCAGTCAGGAAAGTGCCTAACATGTTGTATATTTTTGCACTTCTCCTTCAGTTGATTTGGATCATCATCAGCATAACTAAATTTGCACCTCTTTTTATTCTGTTGAGCTTCATAGCAAAGTATGAAACCAGAATTAGAACATAATATTTCATAATTTAGTTTTCTATAACAGAATGACTAGTTTGGCCATGAAAACTGGAACTGTGGCCTCCCTGAGTGCATATAGTTTTGGAAGCAAAAAATGATATAAGGAAGGGGCATCAAAACTGTCTGGAAACAAAGATTTCTCTAGGATTTGCTCATACAAAACTCCCATACTGCTCGAGATGGAGACTTCATAGGCTACATCACAATTGCAGCTATTCATCTTCAAATAGATCTTTACTTTTCCATGTTACTAAGTTGTTGGTTTTTTATTGTGTTAACAACCTGATACTCCATTTTCTTTGATCAATCCTTATCTGCCAAGACTGATGATAAAAATGGTAGTGCATCAGTTTTCATCTTACAATAAGTAATAAGCAGGATTGCTTGAATTTTTGTTTTCCTACACAGTAAAATGCCTCATGTTGTTTTGTCCATTATTGCTGCTCTTCTATTGAATAAATAAATAATTTGGCAGGACAGCAATGAAATCCATGTTATATGGCTTTTATTATTACAGTGAATTGTGTTGGTATAATTAGTTCATATAATTAGTATAATGTCGATCACTGACTGTGTCTTGGCCTATTTCTTGAAGTTAATAGTGGCTAATTTCTTTCATCATGGCCCTCAGCCTATTACTTAAGGACTCTGTAAATCACATTCTAGCTCAAAGCAAGCCTGTAGGGACAGAACTGGAGTTTGTGGGGAGGCTGAGATGCTGGAGAGTGTGGGGTAGCATTGGATTTCTCCTTTTGTTTATCCCCCACTGTGAAGCTAGGACATAATCACTGAACACTCCTAGGTCTGTAGGCCTGGAAGCTCTAAATACAGCTTTGTGGGATTTGAACTGATTTTTAGTTTTGTGGAGGCTGACCTAGTGCTGATTTAGTTGTGTTGTCTAATGTGCAGGAGATTCTCAGAGTAAGCAGGAAAACCCTGGCATTGCATGGGTCAGAAGCAGTATTTGAACCTATTGCTCTGAAAAGCCACATAATCCTTCTGTATACATCTTCCTTCTATTTGGAGGGAGTAGTTATATTTACCATGTTTTTTGATGTGCAAGTTTAGAAAAAAGCCACCATTATTACATTAAAATAGTCTTAGGGGAAAAAATTAGTTACTTTACCAGTTTTTATTTCACAGCAACTGTGGGGATTTTTGTAAATCTTAAAATGGGGGGGGGGAAAGGCATGGAACAGATTATATTTTAGTAGGCCTTAAAGATTGTTAAATACTCTGAATTTACATTGAAGGTGAAAAATCTGGATCATCTGGATCTGATTAAAAATGTGAAAGTTTCCTTGTTTAGGCATTGATAAATTCTCAAATATCATATGATAGGAAATTCCTTAAAAAAAAAAAAAGCCTTTTCAAATAAAGAGTTTGCAACTGACATGAACGTGTGTAAATCTTTTGAACAGGTTGTATCAGTCTGTAAAAATTCTGTACTCCTTTGGGATTTTTGTGACCTACTCGATTCAGTACTATGTCCCTGCGGAGATCCTCATTCCAGCTGTCACCTCCAAAGTGGAGCAGAAGTGGAAGTTACTCTGTGAGTTTGTGGCGAGAGCACTATTGGTCTGCTCAACCTGTAAGTATGTGCAGAATATCCATTAAAAAGCTTGCTGTTACACCTTGTTGGGGCCTACTAGTTTTGTTTGTTTTGTTACTGATTTTTCTGGAGGCTAATAATCCTGAAATTATGTTTCAATGGCTCTGTATGTTTTGATTCTCATTAACAAGTCAATTTAATGTTGTATTTGTATTTTAACCACACTTTTTTTTGGTAGATGTGACCAATTATTTGGCAACCACATCTTTTGCCAGTAGTGAAGTTGGCAACTTGAAAATAATTTTCTTAAATCAAAAGTTCACAGAATCACAGGATAGTCATGTTTGGAGAGGACCTCTGAGGTCACTGAGTCCAATAGCAAAAAAAAGAAACAAACACAAAACTCCAGAAAACCACACCCCATAAAAATCAACAACAGCCAACCCACAACATTGGCCTCTAGAGCATGCCCTGAAGTTTCTCATCTACACATTTCTTGAATACCTCCAAGGTATACCACCACCTCACTGGGCAGGCTTTTCCAGTGCCTGACCACTCTTTCAGTAAAGAAATTCTTCCTGGTGTCCAATCCAAACCTCCCCTGGTGTAACTTTAGGCCATTTCCTCTGGTGCTGTGGTTATTTACCTGGGAGAAGAGGCCAGCATTCACCTCCCTACAAACTATTTTCAGGCAGTTGTAGAGGGTGATGAGGTCCCCCCCTCAGCATCCTCCAAACTTAACATCCCTACTACCCTCAGCCTTTCCTTGTATGAGTTGTTTTCTAGGCTCTTCACCAGCTTGGTTGCTCTCATCTGAACACACTCCAGCCCCTCAGTGTTCTTCCTGTAGTGAGGGGCCCAGAACTGAACACAGTACTTGAGGTGCAGAATTTTAAGTAATAGAGTTTAAGTAATAGAGACATACTGCAGTTTAATGTCAGTGTTTCTCTATGTGATCTGCAATGCATGCTGCTTGTGGAGAAAACCTCTTTCTGTTTTGTTGGTCTGAGGATTCGGCCAAAGGTGTGCTGCTGTACCCATATAGCTTTGGCAAACATGGGTGCCTGGGCAGAGTGTCCATGGAGTGCCACTTAATTTAGGTGATAATGCTCCAGAGTAGTTTTGTATCTCTGCTTCCAGTGTCTGTTACCACTTTTGTTTTTCTCAGTTGTCCCCTACTATTTCTGTCCTTCCTACTGTGTCCCTGCATTTCTCCCAAATAGTCTATGTACCACAGATGCTAGCAGTAAGGTCTCACTGAATGGTGAGTGTGGTCTCATCTAGCAATTGATTATCCTGAAGATAATCAGCTGAGGAGGAAATTTAGGTTCCCAGCAGCTCCCATCAAAAATGCTGACTAACATAAGAAGCTTTTCTTAAAAGTGTTAAAAAAAATTGTTCCCAGTACAAAGGTGCCTCTTGACTCCATCATTTACACTGGAATGTGCTGTTTACCTTAAAAAAAAAAATCAAAACTGCCAAACAAAAAGTTTTTAGGGGCAAAATATTGATGAAAATGTAGAGTTTAGTTTTTGTTTCTCTTGGTGAGTGCTGACCCAGTGGCTAAAGTGCTGGATTGCACATAGTAATTATCTGTTGTCAAAGAGAACTTGAACATCCAGGGAGATCTTAAGGTCAAGGATGTTGAGAGCAACAGGTTAATGTTGGTGCAGTTTAGTTACTGCAGTAAGCAAAGAGAAATACTATTGATCTGATAACTTGCTGCTCTGAAAGTATGTATGCTATAAGAAATATATTTATTCAAAAAAATAAATGTGAAAAGCTTTCTTGAATAATGAAGTATAGATGTCCTGAAGCACCATATACCCTGTGTTATGCTTCAAGTATTCATGGAGCATAGTGAACCTGTTGATGTTTTAAGATTGGGTATAGGTGAATAACTCTTATAATACCTGAGAGGCATCTAGATGTGCTTTAGGATCCAAAATGCTTTTCAGTGTCTCTCCAGGACCTCAGTAAACTCTCCAGTCATAACTATACTTTGGTGTCACGATGCCTTCAACTTCTTCTCATTCTTTATGGCACTTTATGTGCCCCTTGTAACCTGCCCTGGTAATGATACTGTAATATATTTGAAAAGCTAGAATTCTTGTAGATCTAAACTGTTATTTACAGCTGATGGTTTTGAGGGTTTATAGGAGAAAAAGATGCTGTCAGAGATGTGTCTGATGAAGAACCTGTGCTGAATAGGTTTCAAAGCACATTTGCCTTTGGAAAATTACAAATGACTCCATGACATTTTGCCCTAGGTGTTTTTTTTTTCTCAATTTTATTACTGAACTTTGTAATTACTAGGTAGTCTGGGAAGGCAAAACTGAGGAACAATCTCCAAGAAAAAGAAGCAGAAAAAGGAAGAGAATTAGCTTTAAAATATGAAAGAGGAGTCTGTAGAAGGTAAAAAGAAATGGAAGCAAATCAGAGGGCAGGGTACCTTGTGAGTGGGACTTGAAAACAGCAGTTTTCTGTTGGATATAATTAACGGCAGTTGGGTGCATTGGGACAGACGGAGTCTAGTCCAGTATCAGTTGTGATGGATCTCTTTTCCCAGAGTTATGTTGACATGTGCTCTTTCTTCTGGATTTCATGCAGTTGTGCATTGTGTTTTTTCATATTTTTTTTTCATTATAAACCAGCAACTAATGGCCTTTCTTATCTGAAGGCACAATAAGCACTTCAAAATTATTCACTGTAAAGTGAATGCTATACCTTTATTTCTTTTTTTAAATGTGTGCAGTAAAATTGGACCTGGTTTGTGCCACTGAAACTAATATGTAATGCAAATCTCTAAAATGGACCTGCTGAGGTGTTACAGGTGCTACTGTGATGTTTGAGAGTGCTGCGTTGTTTGCTGCAAGGCACAGAAAAGTGAAACTAGAAGTTTGCTCTTAAGTGTTTGACATTTGCCAGGGTGTTGTGCTTGCCCTAGTTGTAATTTCAATTATTTTCAATTAATTTCTACAAATTCTATGTATGCAATATCTGGAATACTTTTTCACCAGCAATCATGTGTGTAAGTTCCCATCCTTACGCTCATTTTCTGTTTGTCATTTTTCACTGAAGCATTGGTTATAAAGCAGAATTGATTGAAATAGTGCTTTTGTCTTCAGTAGATAATCATCAGATCAGCAGATGCAGACCATGGTTCCTGAAATGACTCAGAAAAATGTTTCCTTATTAGAAAGAAAAATCCCAAACCATTTAAAATTGAGTTCTAAAAATAAAATGGTTTTGGTATCAGTGACAGAATATGTTGTAATGTCTGGACTATTCGGAGGTCATACACTGATTAAAGGGCCTCTGCTTACTTGAAGAGAATTCTCTGAAAGGAGACTCTTCAGCTGTGTTACTAATATGACATTAGCTTATTAAGAGAATACTTGAAAAATCATTATTATGAATTTCTGGGGCTTTTGCATTTCTCAAAAATCAATGATGTAATTGTTTTATTGTTGCTGTATGTCAGAAACTTTGCTGGGTAAAAGCATATTCTGGAGTGGTTTTTTTGGTTTGTTTGGTAAGGTTTGTTTTAAGCAAGAACTTGACAAACTACGGGAGATGTAACTTGAGTCCAAAAGAACTGTACGCCTTGCTTATAGTTTCTATTTATTGACTGGTCACTTTTCGGCCCTTAGCGTTCATATATGTTATGGTTTTATTTACATTTCTGTTTCCTTTGCTAGTGTTTCACAAAAGAGACTTTATCTGAAGCATGGGATGAACAATGCATTTGACCCCAAATGGCACCAATCTGAGGCAAACCTTCAAGTGTGGGACAGGGGCAGGCATGTACCCAGTTGTGGCTGCTTTGGTGATTGTCACTCTGGGACTAGATCAGTCTCGGCTCACTGAGCAGTTCCTGAGGAGCAGAGAAATCACCTGAACTTTTTCTAGACAGAATTGGTAGTTAAAGGTGTTCAAAAGACAATTTTTTAGCTATATTGTAAAGGAAGTTGCAAGTAGATTGAAGAACAATGTTTCCTGTAGCTGTCTGAAATTTCATATCTGTTCTTAGCATTTTCAAGACTGATGCACTATTATTAAGGTAAAAGCAAATTCTAAGGATTATTTTTGCTGGGAAAGTGCTAGACTGGCAAAATCAGGCCTTTCCTTTGTTTATAGTCCCTTGTTTATTCTTTTTGAACAAGGAAACCGTGAGTGTAAATAACTTGACAGACCTTCCTCCTTTTCTCCACTCTTCCAATTTAGTTTAGTGTTAAAATTGCATCTTAGTATTGCATGGCCAAAAGGGCAAGTCTGATACTTTTGAATTTTAAGAAAAAGAAGGTAAAGCTTCTGCTTCATTTGATATTGAACACTCCCCATTTCATTTGCAAGAGAGATGCATCTCCTCATCTTTGCTTACTAGCTAGGCAGAAATATGATTGAAAGCTGGATGAAGCATCACTGTGAGGGGCAAAGTTAGAAATTAGAATTGTAGGATCATTAAGTTGGAAGAGACCTTAAAGATCATCAAGTTCCAACCCCCCTACCTTGAGCAGAGAACCCTACCACTAGATCAGGTTGCACAAAACCTTGTCCAACCTGGCCTTAAACACCTCCAGGGATGGGGCATCAAGAACTTCCCTGGGCAACCCATTCCAGTGAAGAATTTCTTGCTAATATCTAACCTAAATCTCCCCTCTCTCAGTTTAAAACCATTACCCTTTGTCCTGTTGTTATCTTCTCTCATGAAAAGCACCTCCCCAGCTTTCCTGTAGCTCCTTTCAAGTACTGGAAGGTGCTATGAGGTCTCCCCAGAGCCTTCTCTTCTCTAGGCTGAACAGCCCCAACTATCTCAGCTTGTCTTCACAGTAGAGGTGCTCCAGCCCTTTGATCATCTTGGTGGCCCTTCCCTGGACCCTCTCCAACAGCTCTATATCTTCTTGTGCTGAGGGCTCCAGAACTGTACACAGTATTTCAGGTGGGGTCTCACCAGAGCAGAGTAGAGAGGCAGAATCACCTCCTTGGCCCTGCTCGCCACACTTCTTTTGATGCAGCCCAGGATGCAGATGCTCTCT